ACTAATTATTATTTTTTATAGCCTAAATCTTAAAATTCTAAATTCTAAAAAAATCTTTTGACCCCTAAAACCCGTTAAACCCTCAAAGGAAACTCTAATACAACATATTTAACCCAAACATACATAATATAATAAATAAATAATGTTTAAAAAGTGACATTTTTATAAAGATTATAAAAAGTGGTATTTTTGTCTAGTGACATTTGAAAAATGACATTTTTTAAATTTTCTCATTTATTTTAGCATTACTAAGTTTGTCTATTTGGGTATAGCTTGTTTCGACTAATAATTGATTATGTTAGTTAGAGTTGCATCTCAGACATTTTATCTATCATATTACTTGATTTTTAAGGTGTTGCATATAGATTAAGAAATCATTTACTTTTGAGAAATTTTAAAAAATGCCACTTTTCAAATGCCACTTTACAAAAATGTCACATTTTTACAATTTTTACAAAAATGGCACTTTTTCAAAATTATTTATTCATTATATCATTTATGTTTGGGTTAACTATGTTGTATTAGGGTTTAGTTTTGAGGGTTTAAAGGGTTTTAGATGTCAAAAGATTTTCTAGTTTTTCAAAATAAAACATGTTTTATTATCAACTTCAAAACAATTCAACCAATTAAAAAATAATCTACATAATTTAAACAATAAAAAAAAATAAAACACATAATTAATTTTACATAAAAAATTGAAAACATCATTTTTTATAAAAATAAAAAAAAAAATTTAAAACATCATCTGTTATGATAAAGAGGGAGTAATGATTAGTGATTAAAAACTGATTATGGATATGGGAAAATATTGTAGGGTCTCAAAGTCAACAAACGAATTGGAAGAATACTAATACGAGGGTCGTAGAGTAATTGTGATAATTGTCTTCGTAATCATAAAATGTCAAAGGTTTAGCTCCTTAATTTTGATTATTGAAATGGTGTGATCGTCACGTCGTGATGATTATTCGAGTAGTTAATATCAATTATACAATATTATTAAATTCGTTGGTTAGAGGGAAACATAAAAATTGTTGTAAAGCAAAATTCAAAACAAAGAATAACTGTTGTAAAGTATAACGAATTATAACCCTTTTTCTTACATTACCCATTGTCCGCTTAACAAATTCAAAAACTTTTGTTTATCCTCTCAAGTTTTGGGCTCTCTTTTGCCTTTTTTGCCTTTAGATCTTATAACAATTGGCTACAAACATTTGTACAGCTTTACAAACATAATTTAAAAAAAAAAAAAAAACTTTACAAACAAAAATCTCTAAAATTGAACATTGTAATACTAATAAATAATCAAAATTCAAAGCCTATATGTTATCATTCATTCTTGGTAGACTTATTGATTCGTTTTTCTAATTATATGCATTGCTTAGAGAAGTGTTGGGCCTAAATAACTCATTAGTGGGCCCAATTACTTACTAAACTTAAGAAGCCCATACAAGCTACAAATAATTCAAAGGAGATTTTTTCTTTTAGTTAAAATATCACAGGAGAAGATTGATTACAGGTTTCAGCTTCATCGACTTTTGAAACTAAAAATCATTTTTGCCTCATGCCTTCATCTGACTCTTCTTAAAAAATTGTAAAAACTCTGACTTTAGTTGTTAATATTTAGCCTGACGTTTAGAAAACTTTTATATTGAGTAAACCAAAATAGCAGTATTATCGACGACGAATGTATGACTCGGCAAAGTATAGTAGCCTACGGTACAACTCAATGACTAAATTGTCTGCCCGACAAATATCGTATAAAATATGTTAGAATTCATCAACGACGATTATATTTAGAAAAACAATTCAAAACGTTTGAATAGAAAGTAAAAACAAATCTCCAGTATCTATGACGACGTTGCATGTGTTATAAATTATTAGTTTGGAATATATGATTGTGACATCTCTATAGACAACAACAAACCATTCCAAGGTTTATTGGAAGAATTAACATTTTTCAACTTTAGGATGGTTATTTTGTAACTATTTACACGTAAACATGTCTCTTAAAGGTAGAACGATTCTTTGGTGATTTTGAATAACTCGTTTATTAAACGTAAATTGCACGGTGTCTAGAAGATGTACGGTACTAGTAAGTACGTTAAGGACCACGGAATTTTTTTTTATTTTTGATATGAATTTATCTGTTGTTTGAATAATTGATTGTTTTAATTTTCCATGAAAATATTTTAAGCAGTCTACTCCACAAAAAACTAAACTCATACTTCTTCTTAGCTAAGTTTATGACTCGGTGGGCGGGTGGACCACATTTATGATGAAAATTTGGAAATACATAGAAAATCACAAGCAGACATTATATTGATTTTTTATTAGCTGAATTATTTAACAAACTTATAGGAGTATATCTTAAGAAAAAAATATCACCAGATCGTTACATGTACATATTTGATATTGGGTTATTCTTGAATATGTGAAACTGTTTACTATCGTTTTAAAAAATATATAACTGACCTTTACATTTTTTTTCTTTATAATCCGCGGGAGTCAGTCCAAACCCCGAAATAATTTAAAACTTCTAACATTCAAATCAAATCTATATACTAAAGTAATATTATAAATATTCTTATAGACTAAAAGATTGTTTTTTTTTTGTGGTCACAGACTATAAGATTGTTTATAGTAATAGAAATATCATTACACACAAACTTAATCTTAATTTGTATTTAAATCATTTTGTTTTGGAATTTTTCGTTATGCTCTCATGTCATGGCATTGTGACATAATGTTGACATTCCTAATTTTACTACGAGAATGACCATGTAGCGAATAAATTGAAAATATTCTTTTAATTAACTTTACAGTTTACCCTAATTGAAAATTTACTGTGCCATTTATCAAAGCAATTCATAGAATGCTTCTTGGAAATTTAATGGTAATTTCATTACCGTTAAGTGTTTTTCTTCCTTCATTCCCCTATAAATAAATTTAATTCGTTACTCCATTTTCGTACACTTCCCAAATGCTCACAAACTCAAAACTCAATAGTCTCTCATAAAGAAAACCAAAAAAAGACATAAACATCAAAATCATGAATACGATCTTGAGAAATGCATCTTGCTTTAAGAGAAAAGTAAAATCTTTACGAATATTCGATTCCGGGTCATTATCATCTTCGTCTTCTTCCTCTTTCACTCCTCAGAAATTCGATGTTTTTCTCAGCTTCAGAGGCGCAGATACTCGCAAGAACTTCGTCAGTTTTCTCTACAAAGAGTTAGTGGCTAAAAGGATCCGGACTTTCAAAGACGACAAGGAATTGGAGATAGGCCGTCCGATTTCACCTGAGCTACTCCAAGCGATCAAAGGCTCGAGATTCGCCATTGTCGTCGTCTCTGCTACATACCCAGCTTCCTTTTGGTGTCTCGAAGAGCTCGTGAAGATTCTGGAACTCGAGCAAAAGGGTTTGCTCACTGTGTTGCCGATTTTCTACGAGATTGATCCTGGGCATGTGAGAAGACAGATCGGAGAAGTCGCGAAACAGTTTAAGAAACATGAGAAGAGACATAGCAGAGAGAGAGTCCAATCGTGGAGAAATGCGTTGACCAGATTAGCTAGTCTCTCCGGTGAATGTTCAAAGAATTGGTAAGAATTGATGAATCGGGTCGAAGATTTTGGATTAGGGTTTGTTGAATCGAATCTCAAGTTTCGATTTTGATTTTTTTTTTTGTCTCTGTAGGGAAGATGACTGCAAGCTGGTCGACGAAATTACTGAAAGAATAGCAAACAAGTTGTTTTCAGAGACACCAAGTAATGGTAATAACTTAGTTGGGATAGATGAACACATGAGTCAATTGTATCCATTGTTGGGTTTGGATTCAAACGAAAGTGTTAGAGTGATTGGGATTTGGGGTAGAGGAAGTATTGGTAGATCAGCACTAGCTAGACACGTTTACGAAAACATCTCACAACACTTTGAAGCTCATTGTTTTCTCGAAAACGTGAGAAGGATTTCGCTACATTGCCGTAAATCTCATCTACAAGAAGAGCTTCTTTCCAAGATGCAAGGAGAAGGCTTGAACACAAAGAGCTCTCATAGGTGTCTTAACGCGATCAAAGCAAGGCTCAGGAACAAGAAGATTCTGATTGTGGCGAACGATGTTGATAAGATCGAACAATTAGATGCACTTGCGGAGGAATTTAGCTGGTTTGGTTCAGGGAGTAGAATCATCATAACCACACAAGACAGACAGTTGCTGATCTCATCGGTAGTAAAGAGTGTCTACGAAGTTGAGCTCTTGCGATGCTACGAAGTTCGTCAGCTCTTTAGGTCATTAGCCTTCAAAGAGAGAGAGGATCCTGTGAGTTTCGACCCGTCTACATATCGAGCCTTGAATCTTTCTGGTAATGTTTTTTCTACCCTGAAATATTTAGTGGCCTTGTTGTGTGGTAGTGGTCAGCTTAGGGAAAGGATAAATGCATTAGTATATAGTCTTTAGATTCATTTGATTTGTAAGGTAAAGCCTTTTTTACTTAACAAAGTGTAGACTTAGGTCAAATAAGTTGTTTTTTATACACATTGTTTAGATTTCAGGAATATTAACTTGATGTGTTTGTTTGTTCCTTAATGTTAAGCCATTTTTTGGATCTGGATTTAGTACTAGATCTATGTAATATTGTTCTTCCTGATAAAGAAATAAAGAGTACCCCATTTTTAAAGATTTGTCTGTACAATTTGGTAAATGTCCAACAAATATGTGACATATAAAGTTCGTAACTTTTTGGTGGTCGAATATAAAGGTGTGAAATAGAGAAAAAAAGCTTTCTAGCTTTTTACATGATGATCCAATGTTGACTAATAGTGGTAAAAGACTTAAAAGCTCGGATCCACCGAACAAAGTTCTCACTTTTTTCTCACTTCTCACTCTGTAGTCAGCTCGTCTGATTTAAACTTTTTGGGTTTAACTTAAGAAGATTAAATCAGAGTATGTAACTAGTTAATGGAAGATCTGGATAATTGCTCAATAAACCCGTTGAACCGATAAATATGTATGAAATTGGATTTATCACAATTAGTGAATTTGAGTAAACCAAATCAGCCAGAAAAAAGAAAAGAAATTTTCTGACCTATGCACATAATCTTTTCAGACCGAGGACCATATGAGACTAAACCAGTTCTGTTCTCGCAACTATTGATGCTTGAATCCAGACCTTCTTGGCCCTTTTTGATGGTTAGATGGTACGTCGGTTGAGCTACCGATGCCGGATAACAAATTAAATGTTTGTTCAGTTTAAGTGCAATCACATTTATTCCAAAATGAATTTTCAAACGAAATCTCATTACTTGTGAAGATTAAATCACAGAGTATGAAATTAATTACATGGTGGAAGAAACACAATAGACCCGAATAAATATGAATGAAATTGGATTAATTCAAAACAAACAAACAAAAAATTTGATCAAACCGGATCAATTGAAAAAATTGGAGCCAAAACTCGGTTTAAATTTGACAAGAATGTTTTTCTAATTCAAACCAAATCAACGAACAAATTAAAATGTTTCTTTTTGTAACCAACAAATTCTTGACAAACTCATAATTTTTTTCGGACCAGAGACTATATAACAGGTTAACGTAATTTCTTTTGTATTGTCAGTGTTCGAACTTGGGACCTTTGTTTCCTTTGAGCGACTAGGTAAATCTACCGATTGAACTGCCATTGTTAACTCAGTCCAAATTTGATCACATTTCTTCCAAACCGAATGCGCAAACCAAACCGATTAAACCAAATATCTAGTCCTATATTCTATGTCTACTCGTTAAAGCTTAGATTGTGGTTATGGTTTTAACTCAACCTGAATACGTATTGTATTACTATTAGTTAGACGTATTCACAATACCATTAATAGCGCTCACTTTGGTTAGTTTTCTCATAATCTTCTTGGAAAAGATAAGGAATTAGACATCCTTACAAAATAAACACATGCCATTTGTTCTTGTAGCTATGTATATCACCTAAATTCCCCCAAATCTCTTATCTTATGCCTTATCTATTTTATTACGTGAAGAAAGACGTGTTCGTTTTGAAATCTTTTTATTTTGTTATTTCTTCACACCTTCTTTTCTCTATATTACTTTCCTAGTTTTTTATTTCTTTCGAAAACTATTTATATTACCAATTTCCTTTCTTTTTTGTCTTTTTTTGCACACAAAAGTGGATGCAAAGTCGCACCATGCGCAAAGAAAAAAAACGATGCATGTCTTGTATTAGTATGAATTAATACTTCTAGACGAAGAAAACATTGTAAAATAATACTTCAACAAATTATTGCAAAATTTTGTGTAGCAGCTGAATGTGAATTTTAAAATATTTTACAATAATTTAGTAAAAACATAATATTCATAACCTTTAACTAATAAAACATTTAACATTTAAATCGAATAGGTAAAGCGAATTAGAACATAATGTACACTTGCATTTCTTCCGATCATGAATCCCGTTTGAAACTCGTAATGCGTTGTTTAGAATTTTTTGGGGTTAGATTAAAAACCCAAATAAAACAAAATGTTTTAGATAACTTATTTGTATTGACCTTTGGCTTCGATTCAACTAATTAACAAAAAACATTTAGATTTTAAATAGTTTAATTTTAACGAGTTTTTAGATGATTTTGAATAGATTTGTAGAGTTTGTCATATA